AAATATAAGACCAATAAAAACAGATTTATGCCCATTATTATTGTCGCCAGAATCCAAGTGATAAATTTCAAGGAAGAGTGAACTTGAAAAGTGGCACCCATCACCACTTTAGAACTTGCCAATTTTAGCAACGGAATTATTGCAGTGGGAAGACAAAGACTTTGAAGAACATTCAAAAGCTCCCCCATTGTATCAAAATTATCAACCTAAAAAAAATTAAATCAATTAATTTAACATTAATAGGTTAATTATTATAAGTAAATGGGCACTCACGGCATATATGGCGACCAACATTGAAGGCACTAACGCAATACTACGAGTTATCGCATTTCGATACCATTGTTGTGATAAGACTTTTCCAAAGAATCCTTCTATTACATATTGACCTGCTAATGTTCCTGCCATTGTAGAACTTTGACCGGCTGCCAATAGCCCAAAAGCCCACAGATATTTTGATGCATAACCCAGGGTATTTGACAAGACATTACCAGCGTCATATAGACCTGGCAAGTGTTTGTTCTCGCCAGGAGCGTAGAATACTTGAGCAAAAACTACAACAATCGCCATGTTTATTAAGTATGATGCTGATAAAGCCATTCCACTTTCTATAGTAAAATAAAAATTTGCCTCCTTGAGTTTCGAAATTGATGATGGATCTGTTTTACGTGTCATTACTAAATTTGTAAAAAAAAGAAGACCATTGGTTAAAGAGTAATTAATATTGAAGGGAAATTATAGTATTAATAAATATCAATGATGATACCCAATGCCGAATGAAGGTACAAATTATGAGGCATTATAACTACACATTATAAATAAAAATAAATTAGAAATAGCAGAGAAAAGAAAAAAAAGATTCTGTATGTTCCTTACCGGCTCCAACCATTGCTACTACTTGAATAATTGCCCGTCTGAAATCGAGACACGAAAAATCAATTCTTTAGTTTTTTAATTATTTTTTGGCAGATTTTGTTTTTACTCACCGAGGAACACTAGGGACGAGGATACCCACTGCGACTTCTTTAACATCAACACCACTCAAGAACATCTCAATCCAAAAACATGATGCCATTGTGGCAATTAGTGCCATAAAGAATGCTTCGAGCTTTCTCATCCCGTAATTCTGCAATAACATGAAAGCGAATGTGTCGAGTGCCGTTAACATTGTTCCTAACCACAGAGGTATCTTCAATATTATTCGGAGAGCAATTGCAGTACCAACTATCTCCTGAATGTCGGACCCTATGATCGCAATTTCAGTTATTAACCATAATATTATTGATATATAACGCGGATAATGGCATCTTATTAGTTGCGCCAGATGTTGTCCCGAGACGACACCAATACGAGCGGCAAGACATTGGATCAAAAGACCAGCAATATGTGCATACAACAGTGTCCAAAGCTATTTGTGAAACGGAAAATCAATAAAAGAAAAGTAAAACAATGTATTACAGGCTTTGATTAAATACCAAAGAATAACCGGCCACGGCCCCAATCTGTAGATCTGCTTCTAAATTCCCCGGATCAAGGTAGGCTATCGACATCAAAAATCCTGGAAGAATACGGGTATTTGAACACAAGTATCTTTTAAAAATTTAATTCATTGGAGAATTATGCTCACCAGGTCCTGTATATTTCCATAGTTTTGACCATGAAAACATGCTTTCTACCGCACCCGTCTCAACTTCTGGTTCTATCAATACACCAATAGAATCATTGTCCTCAGTAAGTTCTGGGGTTGTACTGCTCTCAGAACAATCTAAGTTTGAATTTGTGAGAAGTAAAGTCGTTTCTGATGTGCCCTTCGGTCTCATTTTTTAAATTTTTACAACTTCTACAAGGATCTTGAATGTATTCGATAGAAAAGCCTGAAAGAAAGAAATTTGCACAATAATTATTTGATCGTTTGACGTTTTCATGAGTTAGCTGTTTTGGACGAGTCGACATTCACATATGTGGAAGATAAGTTGATTGGCTCCTTCTCAATTGTGCGACTAAAAAAAAATTTATATTTTACGAAAACCGCCGATTATTATCTCCTTATTGATTTCCTTTTATAGACGCGTTTAATATTCTCATAATATTTAAATCTACAAGTTATTGAAGCGCTGCGGTCTTTCCTTTTTCAATTAAACAATGGGATCCACATTTTCTTTAAATGTATTGTATTTCATTTTAGTAAACTTTGATTGTAACGAAAAATAGTTTATAATAGAAAAGTTGATTATAAATATAATTTAATTAATGATTTAGCTATACTATATGTACTTTATTAAACTTTTGTAAGCTATTTTTTTTTTTTTTTTTAACCCGCAATCATGCCACAATAGCATGTCTTTATTGAAAAATTGAAAATGAATTTACAAT